GCTGCAGCTGGGCAGGTTGGTAAAGTCGAAATGTGTGTAGGCCAGCAGATGGGGGAGAGAGATGTCTCGCAACACGCCGTCAGGGGAGATGATGCTGCAGTCGACCTTGGCCGATGGCGAGCAGGTCGTGTCGATGAGCGAGGCCAGGGCCTTGAATGTCGCGAAGTTGCTGAGCAGCAGGTCAAGGCAGTCGCTGCGATGCACCTCTATGCGCAGAAAGTCGAAGGCCTTCGAGCAGCCTCGATGCACCAAACACTTCTGAAACCAGAGCACAATCGAGGTGAGACAACGCCGATGCCTTTCTTTCGCACGCTTTCTGTGCCCAATCTTCCGTTCTTGCCTGCAGGTCTTGGAGGCCGTCCCTGCAGGCATCGGTTGACTCGATGCCGTAGAGCTTGATGGTAGGTATCACCCGAAGGTTCACGAGAGGCCCCGGCTGCCCCCGCTGTCCCACAGGGACGGACTCCAGCAGCTCAGCCAGATGAAAGGGCATCATCGAAGACGCCGACCACAGCTCGGCGAGGGACCTCGTCGTGGCGACGAACGGCCGGATGTCCAAAACCTCAGCGGGCGTATGAGGTGCAGAGACACGCTCGACAGCCGGTGTTGTCCATCCCCGCCCATCGATGAGTCTCACCGGGTGGGTGACGCCGTTGACCTCAGTGAGGGCCGGGAGGTTGATGGGGTGGGATGGGGCGACAGCAACTTGAAAAGGCTCAGAGTTGGTGATGTTCAGCTGGTTCATCTCGTGTCGTCCGCTGTGTGGAATCACCACGGACTCGAAGGTCAACGACTTGAGCGATCCCTCTGCCATCGTGGTCCCCGGCCCCTCCTTCACGCGCGCCGCTCGCCGTCCCTGCACATGCCCCTCCACTAGCCCGATCACGGTCCCACGGCACCATCGAGGTGAGAAATAGTTGCCGCCAGCAGGAAGGCCCTCCGCTCCATCAGGTGTTCGTGGGTAGCGATGGATGAGACACTTGAGGTTGATCATCTGTTTGCCGAGCTCGTACGCCGTCTGCGACGTCATCCGCTGCCAGAAGGTTCTCTCTTGTGTGCTGCGGCAGTCGATGACAAGCTCGGTGTGGTATTGAAGGACTGCCCCGCTGAGTGGGGAGGGCAGGGGCGGCTTTAGGCACCACACGGGATTGACGAACGCAAAGACGCCAACGTGAAGCTCTCGAGGCTGCACACAGGGCGGAAGGGAAACGACACTGTGTAGGGCGAGTGATGCCTTTGTCTGTCGATGGATGCTTACCAAAGCAATGGCGGACCACCCTTGCATCCGAATGGCCTGCAGGAATCCGATGGATAAGAAAGTGAGGAAACAAAGCTTGAGGCATCTGTGCAGTTTGCGTGTGTTTTCATGGATGAAGATGCTCGTCATACCTCAAAGACAGCGGCGGTTCCTCTACATGTATTGTCAGTCGGGCTGCCAGCGGCATCGTTGCCGCCAACGACAGGCGAAGGCGCGTCACCATCACTACTTGGTCCACCAGCGATATCGATATCTGCAAAGAAAACCGCTGCAGGAGGAGAAACCAAAAGCACTGTTGGGAAGTGACGCATACCTGCCTGATCCTGGGCCATCGTGAAGCTCTAGCCGGGGCTCTCAATTCAACCTATTTCCCATCGCCGTGTAACTCATCAACGGCGCAGCTCGAGAATGAGGTCGAAGAATCCCTACATTAATGTGACCATCCAGGACGGTGACGTCCTCGAAGATCTGTAAGCACCAAGTTTGAGGATTCATCCCGCTGCTGCTGATCTATGGTCCTTCCATGCGCCTCCCGACGTTCACGTTCGTCGCCGCTCTCTCCCTGGCAGCAGCAGCAGCGGCAGTGTCGTCGTCTGCCACACCGGCGTTCTCCACACCAGAGAGTCGGCTCGTCGGCGTGACGTCTGTGCCCTTCGGATGCGGCACCTCCAGCCGTCACGCCCCGATTCAAGCTTGAACGCGGCGTCGAGGCTTTCGATGACATGTTCGCCATATTTGTAAGGCAGCAGAGATCGGCAGCGTGGTCTCAGTATATGTGTGTGTGTGTGTCTTTGGTGCGCGTGTGTGTGTGTGTGCACAGAAGCGCTTCTGGGGCGAGGTCGGTCAGCCGACCGACGAGGAGCCGACCGACGAGGAGGTTCTGCAGTGGTTGGCCGACACTGAGGCCATCCTGTCCAAATCCTGCAGCAGGGCAAGAGGTAAGCAGTGTACGTCTGTTTTTTGTGTTTGTACTATGCTATGCGCGCGCATTTGGGTTCTGTCTGGCTGTTGCTTGCAGACCGCCTGGCTCAGACAAGGACTTCGAGGTTTTCAAAACGTTTTCAAAACGTGGGTGTCTGCCTTCTGTGAGCAACTAGCTCTGATCGATCTGCACACTCCAAGAGAGGCCAGCCGGATGGACTCAGCCACTGTCTGTCTGTCTGTCTCTGTGTGTGTCATGTGTGGTTTAGATTCTGCCTGTGTAGCGAAGTGTCTAGAGAGAGGTAACAAACAGACAGACAGGGCAATGGAGACCGCCATGAACAGACAGACACAGCCCTGTGCGTGTGCGTGTGCGTGTGCGTGTGTGCGTGTGTTCAGGTTTGGATTTCTCTTATAGATCGGAGGTCTTGGAATACACAAGTGCTCGGCAGCGACCTATGACAACGGCTTCAAGCCGTCTATTGATTGAAGTCTGAAGCAGACTGACGCTCAGGTGACTGTCTGTCTGTCTATCTATCTGCGCGTCTGCATCGCTGTGTGGGCGGGGCGCTGAGGGTACCTGTGAGTTTCTCTGTCTCTCTCGGTGTAGCTAGCTTTTTCTGGCAGCGAGGCTGCAGCATGTACATACATGTGACGCTCTAGATGGACATTCGTCTCATGAACACACTTCACCCGAGGAGGAAGATCAGATCGGTTGGAAGCTTGCAGACCCCGGGGGGGGAGGGGGACAACGGCGGCAGTGCAGCGGGCTCGATGATGGCAGTCCGTCGGCTGACACACGGCAGCAGCACAACCGACCCAGACACGACGACAGACAAAGCAGACAATGCCAACGGTGAGCATGTGTGGACGGATGGACGGCTTGTGGATTCAATTGGGTGGATTATGCATCCCATTGTGTGTGCATGTCAGAGGGTGGTGGCGGCATGGCGATGGCGAGTGGAGGAGATAAGGCCGGCAACACCCACTAGCTCAACGCACAGCCAAGGGGCAGATTGAGAGCGGGGAGTCGAGTCGGGAATGTGTAATGCGTTATTTCGGTGTACTGTGGACCGCTTGCATCGCGTTGCATGGTCTGGGTGTTGTTTGGTGCGCTTCTGCGTGGGGTGACTGACACGGGGGGACGGGAATATCAATCCATTGAATGGCAAATGGTCGACGGACACCGAAGCCTCCATCCAGTGTCGGACAGCTCAGCGCGCACACGGCCATGTTGTGGTCCATGGGTGATTCAATTACGCACATGCATGTGTGTGTCTGTGTCCACTCATTCCATCAGCCATCGAGCCACACAAATCACACCCCACCAGCGGCAGCAGCACACTCCACATGTACACCGCACACACACTGGCTGTGCAACGGCCCGACATGTCGATCGACCAATGGTGTGTCTGTGTTTGTGCCAGCCAGCCATTCCCGCCCTCTGTTCGTCAAAAAGGGCCCCCCCCCCTCCCTCCCTCCACCCCTTATCGACACGTGTCGGCCCCCCTCTTAAAACGCGGCTAGCGGTGGTGTGTTCTGTCTGGTCGTTCTTCGTGTGTGTATGTGTGTGTGTGTGGTGGCTACAGTCGTGGGAATCGGCGGACAGACAGACAGACAGAGGTTGCAGATCAGTCGACGAGACGGCCATCTCATTCCACGGGCAGCCAGGCGGCCAAACAGGCAGACAGCCATTTCGAGCAGCCAGCCACTCGAGTAGTGTTGTGTGTATTCTAAGTGAGGTGCGCTATCATTAAATCTGCCAACCACCAAACAGACAGACAGCAGGCAACACGCAACCAATCAACGTCGTTCAGGGACCACGAGTGCGTTATGAATGCGTACCGGCTTGCACTTGCCGTCCTTACAGATGC